CACAGCTCCAGCTCAGCGCTCTCCCGCGACCGCAGGCGGAGGAGACCTCGCTCCTCATCCAGCAGCAGAAGACCGCGCGCGCCGCCATCCGGCTGGAGCTGTTCCTGCCGCCGCAGCTAAAGCCCACGCGGATCCCAGACCCCCTGGACAGGCAAGAGGTTCGGCAAGCCTGGGAATGGACTGAAAGCTCCCCTCCCCCGCACTGCGAGCCCCGGGTCCCGACTCCTCTGGTCTCCCCCGCAGAGGAGGCGCGTGGAGACCATTCTGGAGGAGACGGCGGAGGGCGGCATCTTCCCGCGGTGATGCTAGTGCGCGGCTGTCCTGCCTCCCACATAAAGTTCTTCTCCGAGGGCTGTCTGGTGTTTCTCTCCCCTCTCCAAGGCTCCCAAAGGGAAGGGGCGAGTCTGGTGCTGATTCCCCACATCAGAAGTCAGGAAGCCGGGCTCCCCAACAAAGAGGAGTTGCGTGTGGACAAATGTTAGAGAGGCGGACGGAGCCCCCCCGCCTCTGATCCCAGATGCCCTCCAGCAGGCAACTTGGGGCTCTGGGGTCCATGGGGGGCCCCATCTGAGGACAGGAGCAGAACCTGTTTGGCGACAGCGACACCCTCTGAAGTGAGGGCAGCCTCAGTGTAGCAGGTCCCCAGAGTCACCCCATCAGGGTGGCAGGAGGGGTGGCTTCTGGGCCAGAACTATGCACAAGCCAAAGTTAGACTCTGGAGAGTTGCCCAGGACAAGTAGTGGGGAAGAGGTGCCTCCCAGAGGGAGGACAGACAGAAAGTGCACTTTGTACTGCGCCAGGCAGAAAGCCACCCCTGGCCTTCCTTTCCATCCCAGCAGCTTCCTGAGCCCTGCCCAGGCGTCTGCACGTGCCCGCGCGCACACACAGTGCACAGGAGGAAAACCTCCCTGTCCCTTTCTGACAAGCCCATGTCCTACGGAAGCCCGCAGGGTTCTGGGAAGACCTGACTCCTCCTGTGACATGGGACTTCTCCATCTCCCTTTTCCTCCTCTGCAGCTTCCACCCCCAGCCAGCAGGCTGCTGAAGAGGAAGCTGCAGAGACCTGGAAGGAGGTCTGAGGTCAGAGCTGTGGTCCAGCAAGGGTAGTACCCAGGGGCATTCAGTGCCACCCTCAGCCCTAGCAACGTGGGGACTAGGACTCCCACCCCCTCAGTGAGTCTTCCTCTGCACCTGACCCTCATCCTTTCTGGGCTGTGGCTGCCCTTGGTTGGATCAAGCTCAGACTCTGAATTCACAAGTCAGCAGCAGCCCCTCAGAGAAGGGGGGAGTAGCAGAAAGGGGTTCAGACCAGGAGGAGCGGGAAGGGGGTGAGCCAGCAGGCTGACTAGGTTCTGGCCAAGCTTCCTGCAGTCTGGACCCAGGAGTTTGCCCCAGAGAATTTACTGAGTGTGGGTGATTTCATCTGCTTAGTAAGATCACACATGCTTTGATCACTTCCCTGAGCTTGCATTTCTTCTTCAGAATGGGGTCACAGGGCTGAGGCCTGGTTCCCACCTGGTCCAGTGTCTGCACCAGGCAGACATTGAAGACGGACACCCAAGTCCCAGGCTGGCCACGGGGCACCCTTTGCTTCCCCGCCAGCGCAGGGCCTGCGAGGAGGTGGAAACAGCAGCTGAGGACCTCTCTGGGGACTGTGGCCAGTGCTGAGGGAGAACGAAGCCTAGGGCGTAGGCCCAACATACAGGCTGGGAGCAAAGGCTCCTGGGCTCAAACCCCATCTCCATCACCTCCTGTCCAGCTCACCTGGGCTCCTTGAGTGGATTTCAGGGGAGCTCTGTGTGAGGGCTGGAGGCCAGAGTGGAGAGCAGGCCCGAGGAGCCAGAGGACATGGAGGATAGGGGTGTCGAGGGACCAGAGAGGACTGCGCCCACGGACAGCTCTCCACGCCTGCACTCCCACAGTGGACAGGCCACACCTGCCTGTGGGATCGGTTCAGCTGCGTGGCCACAGGTGTCCTGAATCAGGGTCATAGCTGTGTGGCCTCTGCCCTGCCTCGACCAGCCCATCGGCATGGCAGCGCTGGCCCTGAGCTGCCTGGCTCCAGGCCCTCGTGTCGACCTCCCTCTCTACACCCCAGAGCCCCAACTGGTCCTTTCCTCCTCACCTCTCCAATCTCTCACCTCCCTTCTGCTTCCCACCCCCAGCAGCTCCAGGCTGGCCTGGCCTGTTCCCTGATGGGGTCCCGCTCCCGGCACACGGGAACACCCTGATGCTCGCCAAAGGTGTGAAGAACACATGTACAGCCTCCACTTCCCTCCTCTCTCCAAGTCCTGTGAAACCTGAGCACACGCTTGTGCAAACAGAAGGCGCTTGGTGGCCAAGCAGCGAGAGCAGGCTGCCGGAGAGCCGGCGCTGGGGAGGACCAGAGTTGTACAGGGCTGCCCAGGGGACCACAGGCACCCTGCAGCCATTCTGGAGCAGGGTCAGGCTACACACTGCCAGAGGTACTGGGTACTTAACTTACATGCGCTCGGGCCTTACAGGGTGAGCGGGCTGGGCAGAGGGACGCTGTGGTTTTTAACTTCAGGGTATCCGGGAAATTGGAGGAGTTGGCAAAGACTGAGCAAGGCCCCAGGGAGAGATCGGCTGGACCCTGGATGGCAGAACCAAGCTGCCAGTGCGCATCACCGCCCAGGCTCAGCGACCTCCTCCTGTAATCCTTGCAAAGTCCTCTCCGACCAAGAGTCTCACGCCCGGCTCTTAATCCATTTTACAGGTGAGGCCCAGAAAAGCAAGGGCGGGGACTAGACCAGGCCAGGCATGACCACCCGCCAGTCTTCTCCAGCAGTCTTTTCTTAACCCAAGAAGGGCAAGGAGCACATGGGACCAGCCCGAGCTTTGTGGGCCCCACAGGAAAGGCAAAGCCAGGGTGACTCGCCGAGCATGGTGGGGTCATGGCCGCGCCCCATCTGTTACGGTGCCGGCTCAGGGCGCCCGGAACAGGGTCCCCATTCTTAGTATCTTGTCTCCCGGACCACCCCGAGACCGCGGAGACCCGCGAGCCCTGCCCCGCCAGCGCTTGGGGAGCGGAATCGGCCGAGCGAGGGGGGGGGCG